GTCAAATCCAGAATAGAATTCAAAATCTTACTTCTAACCTACAAAGCCCTCAACAACCTAGCTCCATCTTATATTACAGATCTTATTGTTCCATATTTTCCTAACAGAGCACTTCACTCTCAGACTGCAGGTTTACTTGTGGTTCCTAGAGTTTCTAAAAATAGAATGGGAGGCAGATCTTCCAGTTCTCAGGCTCCTCTCTTGTGGAACCAACTTCCAGTTTCTGTGTTGAAGATAGACTCAAAGCAGTCTGCTCCTCAGATAAATAGTGTTAACTTGTTTTTATTTAATATATATGGATGTTTCTGTTCAATGCTCTGAGACGACTTCTGTTGCGACTTGCCGCTTTATAAATAAACTGAATTGAATTGAATTAACAGAACTCATTTACAGCATCTGAAAAAATGAGACTTCATAAAAGCAACGACCTCCAACGATCTTTATTTATACATTATTTAATGTATTTAAATCATTCTGCAGCATTTTCTTCTCACTTTCATCCAGTGTTTGTCTCCGTGTTCAAACAGTTTTGTGTTTTTTTCTTTCTCCGTGTTCAAACCGTCTCACGTGACGCCCGTTTGTCCCTCCAGACTCCTGGTCGCTGTGATCTCCCTCAGAGATTGGACGTCCACACGGACTGCACCTCCTGCGCCGCCGCCCTCACTGCCAGCTGCCCACGTGGCTTCACCAAGGTCGCCACCACCAACTGCAGGTACAGAACCGGGGACAGAACCACAATTCGCTCAGGTCTATGGACGGGTCACAAACATGGTTCCATCTCTGCAGGAGTGAGATTTGCCCCAAGACACTGAAAGTTCTGGAAGTTATGGGACCGGGACGTTTACTCCAGGGTGTTGGAGTGGAGGCTCCAACCGACTGCTGAACCTCAGATTCATGAGGATCAGGGTGGCTTTGGTCCAGGTCCTGGAACCATGGACCAGAGCTTCACTCTTTCAGAGTTGCTAGGGGGTCATCAGAGTTTGACAGAGGGTCAGAGGTTTTTAAAAATACTCTGTAGGGGATCCGGAGTCATTTTTAAGAGCAGAGGCTCAGTTTCCTTGGTCCAAAGTTGAGCTCATTCTCAGTGCGGGTTGGACTCCTCCAGAACTGCTCCTGGTCTCTGATTCAGTTTGTGTTGTTCGTAGACAGGATCTCAAGGTGCAGTCGTGGAGAGGAAGAGAAGGGTCCAGTTTCTCAGGGCCTGCTTTTTGCAGGTGATGTGGTTCCGTTGGTGTTTTTAAGAGCGGATCTTCAGTGTGCTCTGGGATGGTTCACAGTTGACAATCTTCTTGTAACTGAGCCGAGTCACGATTCTCAACCGGATAACGGTGGAACGCTCCTTCTGGGTTGCGGGGAGTCTTTCTCCAAAGTAGGGTTCACGTATCTGGGAGTCTTGTTCCTGAAGATGGTAGGATGGATCAATGAATCTGGGCCACATCTGCAGTAACGAGAGCGTTGCTCCGGTCTGTCAAGATGAAGGAGCTGATCTGAAAGGCAAAGCTTTATTTTCACGGCTCTGTTTGCATTCCAGCCCTCACCTGAGGTCAAAAGGTTTGGATCAGGACTGAAAGAACCAGATTCAGAATCCAAGCGGCTGAAGTGGACTTCCTGACCGGGCTCAGCCTTAGGGACAAGAAGAGGATCTTCATCATCCAGGAGGAGCTCACAGTAGAGCTGCTGCTCCTCCTCGTTTAAAGCCGTCAGCTGAGGAGGTCCAAACATCTGAATAAAATCTGTTCCTTTAGGAGAAGACCACGAGGCAGAACCAGAACTCTCGTCAGGGACTATATATCCTCTCTGGAACACCTTTGGTTCCCCAGGAAGTGCTGGAGAGACGGAGGTCCTGGTTTCCCTCCTGGACCAGATTAAATTACATCATGAGCCAGAGGAATAATCTGACAAATTTTAACTAGTCATAAATAATTATTTTCTGGTTTGATTCAACTTGCTTTTGGTGAAAACAATAATAAAAGCAAAAACATTTTAGTGAGCTTTTTTAAAAATACATTTGATGTTGTTTTGTAAATTTTCAAATAGAAAGTATTTGTTTTATATTGTATTTATTTTAAATATTAAATATTTAAACCTGTGTGATTAAATATATCAAGTAAAAAAAGGCAAATTTTAACATAATTTAGGTCAGAAATGTGCCCTTTTCCATGTGTTACATTGTAAATAAATATAAGCAGTGTTTCAATCTGTACGTTTTGTAACAATGTGTGATAACATCAGATAAAATTCAACTTAACTATTACAACTTGTTATCTGTACAGATTTTATGTTAATAATCTCTCCTCTCCGGTGCAAACAACATCCTGATGATTGACACAGAAACACAAATAAGTTTTATTCGTTTGGTCCAAACTGTATCTGGTTGCTCAGATGACCTCGTGTTGTGATGATCTGGCAAACTTCTTCTTCTTCTCCTCTGCAGCTACGCGGTCCAGATCGGCAGCAGGGAGCTGGAGCTGCTGGGGTGTCAGCACGTCTGCGTGAAGACGGTCCAGCACCCACAGTGCTGTCCGGGACACTGGGGTCCACTTTGTCTCCGTGAGTCGCTCTGATCACATCGTTAACGCCGCTTCAAAAGACACAGAGGTGACGCTGAAGCAGATAACTCAGAAACGGTTCATCTCAAATGGTCCAAAATGAAGTGAAGATCAAACGTTGCTGCAACGTGATGATCAGATCCAAAAGTCTCGTCAGAGTTTATGGTTAGTTTAATGTTCCAGTGACTCATATATCCAAGAGAATCTATAGATTCTTCAGGAGTGTTTTCCAAAAAGTAGAACAAATTTAGCAACGATTCAGAAGAAACTTACAGTTTATTTCATCTTACATCTTACAAACATGACCCGGTCGAGTGACCTGCTTCTTACCTCAAACTGGAGCGCCAAGGTCTCAAATTTTATCATATTTCTGATTTTAGATAGATAGACAGATAGATAGATAGATAGATAGATAGATAGATAGATAGATAGA